TGCTCTGGAGACGAGAGCACCGTTTTCACCCCCCTTCCTCCATTCCAGTCCATCACAAAAGCCCACTGATTCCCCCCCTTTCCCCTGATCTCTGCCTTGGCACAGAAGCCTCCGGTGCTTCGGGCTGAGCCGTGTGGCGCAGACTCACTGGGGCCTGCCCAACGTATCGTGCCAGAGGGGTGCATCAGGGTGTTGTGCTGGGGTGACAGGCTGACGGCCTTCTTTCCAGAAAGAAACTAGGGCCAGGGTGGAAAAACATGGAGCCCTTCCCTGCCTGGTGGGATTTAAAAACACACTTCTCCCTCTCTGCACAAGAAGCAAGACTCCATCTTTTAAACTTCTGAATAGTTGAGAAGGTGGATTATTGATTATGTGCTATCACGTCGTTGTGGACTCTTAGTGACCACGTGGACAGATTTTCTCCACAACAATCTGTCATGCTGGAGAAGACCTGGTCCTTCAGGCCTTCCAGTGGTGCCCCATCACCACTGCAACTGAGTCCATCCCCCTCGGGGCCGGCTGTTTCTTCTCTTTTCTTCCACCTTTCCCAGCATTCAATCCTTCTCCGAGAGTTGGGTCTTCGCACAATGTGTCCGAAGTAGGATCATTTGAGCCTGGTCATCAGTGCCTCGAGTGAGAAATCTGGGCTGATTTGTTCGATGATCCCTCGGTTTGTTTTCTTGGCTGCCCGCGGTCTTCTCAGGAGTCTTCTCCAACACCAAAGTTCAAAAGAGTCAATGCTCTTCCTATCCTGCTTCTTCAAACTCCAATAGTTGAAAAGAGCAAGGGAATAAATAGGGCTGGTTTTCAGAGACTTCTCTGAAGCTTACCTCCTGGGATTGCTAGTCATAGTTTCCTGCATTTCTCCCATTTAAAAATAATAACCTAACCCATTATTTAATCCCCCTCAACAAAGTATGAACTGTCCCATCTTTTCTAAAGGTAAACCCAACCAGAGAGAAATACCAGTATAACAGCACTCTCTCAGTTTTGGTCACCAAGGAAGTCCTGAAACAGGATATCCGCTGCACTGCTCAAAACGAGTTGGGTATGGCGGAGCAGTCCTTCGAACTCCGTAAGTAGTTTCCCCACCTCCTTTACTGGCCCCTGTGCAAGGAAAACAATCTGTCCTGTTTGCTGATCCATCTTGGAGGGAACTTGGGTTCTAGAGCTTTTGCAGGCTTCTGAAAGCTTCCAAAAATAAAATTTGGCTCGGAAAGATTGGTCAGAATCTCATGTGAACTTGCCCAATTTCGAGGTCTGTGGGAGGGCAAGGGCCGGACAACGCTGTTGAGCCCGAGATTTATTACTGAATTTTTCAATCCCATCTTTTTGGGTTGTTCCAACACTCCGAAAAGTTGCACTTCTTCCTGAATAAATCATGGGAAAATTAAGTGACACCAGTGACTCTGTATTCATAATTGTAGAACTCATTCATCTGTCAGTGGCCTGGTTGACAGGATACGTTTGCTCAGTTTACTGAATTAACTCCTTTTTCTGAGTTTATACATGATGTTGCATCACTGACAGACTAAATATACTGGTTTAACGTATGTGTGCTGAACTAGAAAAGGAACCTAAAGAAGAGTAAAAGTCAACTGGGTTCACATGGTTTGCAGATGGAGGCCCTAGGCCTTGGCCCAGAGTGGTTCACAGAGTTTTGAAAGCCTTGCATGGAATCCCTTAGCCCCCTGCCCCATGGTAGCATTGAAAAAGGCACTGAGGGTGCTTCCCCCCTGCCCAAGTAGGACCATCTTGCCTCCTGAGCAGGGATGGGAACAGTTCTCCGGGTGCTTTTCAGAATGCAACACGCTGAACCAGCTGTAAACCAGGGGCAGAGGTCAGGGGCCAGAGGCAAAGCTACACATTACCTGCTTGGTACCCAGTGTCTCTCTTATTCCTTTCAAGGGCCAGAAACAAAACACCATCCTGACAAGATCGGTAAGTGGTTCTCTTTTAGCCACAATCAAACAAGCATTGCAGGCAGGAACGTCATTGCAGCCACTTTGGAGACACCCTCCCTGCAGGCGCCCCATTTGCATGCTGTTGGGGGTTTGAGTGCAATCCACAGAAGAGGCTGCAGACCAGGGGAATTCTGGAAGTTGAAGTCCACACATCTTAAAGTTGCCGAGTTTGAAAAACACGGCTCTAGACCACGCCTGCTCCCTTCCCAGCCCAGCCGAGCTCTGCGCGCGCCACCGTTGCAATTCACACAACTCTCAGGCGCTGCTGCTGGCGAGAATCCCACCAGAAGCGGAGGGCGCCTGTTTTGGGGGGTTCTGCTTAGAGGCGGCTTTTTGGCTGTACAGCCCACCCTGGGATACCTGGCAATGCCTCCCCCTCTGCCGAGCCCCCAACCCCGGGGCTGGCTTGGGAGGCCCACCCAGGGCTCCTTTTCCAAGCCTTGCCCTTGTTTGTGCATCAAGCGGAGCCTCACCCAGAATGGCCGTTTTGTTTCATTGCTGCCTGCTTTCCTCCCCCAGAAACCGTACCGCAGGAGAGCAAAGGGGTGATCATCGTGGCTGTCATTGTCTGCCTGCTGGTCATCGCCACCCTGGGGGCCGTCCTTTACTTCCTGCACAAGAAAGGCAAACTGGCTTGCGGACGGTCCGGAAAGCAAGAAATGTAAGTTTGAGGCCTCTCCTTGGCAACTCAACCACTTTCCCCTTGCCTGCCCCTCTGAGACCACAC